GGGAGTTTAAGGTAAGATTTAGTGCTGTTATTTCTCATCCCATGCCAGTCTCTTGTCAGTTCAGTGGGTATTTTTCTGTGTTTTTTTTGACACGTGCTTGTATTTCAGTGAAGGACAGTTGCTATTTAGCTGCAATACATTGGCAGCCTAAGACAGAATTGTTCCCCTTTGGTTATAGCTGCTGAAAGTCTCCTGCTGTGGAGACAGAAGCATTGGCAGGAAATTGCAGCAACTACTGTAATGTGCTTTTTTAAATCCTTTTCTGCATGTAGTGCTCTGAGTCTGATAAGAAATGCCACCTCTGGACGGCTGTGGACTTGGGCTTCTTCATTCTGATGGGGATTGTAGGAGGCCTTCTCGGAGCCACCTTCAACTGCCTGAACAAGAGACTTGCGAAGTACCGCATGCGGAATGTGCATCCCAAGCCAAAGCTGGTCAGGTATTCGTGCTCTCTTTGAGTTTGTGCAGGATCTCTGATCTGTGTTCAGTGTCTCAAAACAAAAGCATCAATCTAGAAGACCCAGTGAGTGGGACTGGAGTAAATCCCAGACCTATTCTTTTTGAAATCGCAAAACAAAGCCTCCGTAGGACTTAAAAGTCATCACCAGAAACCTGATGTTACAGTCCCTGTGCATTTTTGTAATTACTCTGGTGGTACAGAGAGAGCTGCAACCCCCGTTACGAGGGCCGTGAAGGGAGCTCTTTATAATAAAGGCTACAGCTGAACAAACCGGAGCTTTGTCTCCATGCCGTATTTTTTTTTTTTGTCTTCTCCAAACAAATGTGGGAGGAATAGCTGATCCCACTCTTTTTTTAAAAAAAAAAATATTAAACTACTTGGTTAATTAAATTCAGAACCGAGCTAATATCTGTGATATTCAGAGAGGGAACTGCCATGTAATTCTGGAAATAGCCATTTGTTTGCTCTAGACACTTCCTACCTAAGAAGCCCAGGTTTTAAAAAAAGAAGGATATTTCAGCAGTTAAAAGGGAGATTGAGAGACTATGCATCAACCTGTCTAGTCCTGTCTCGCCTTTTACCGTGTAAGGACCTACAGAACATCATTTCCGTGTGAACAGCCTCCTCACTGAACCCTTCCCTGTGGCTTTCTATAAGTGACTGCTGTGTGTTCTCTGGGCAGAAATAGCTCCTTTTTGGGTGGGCGATTAAAAACGGGAGCTAACTCAGTCCCTGGCAACTAAGTCATAATTCAGCTTGACTTGCAGAGCCCCCTGCTTCTGATCTTAAGCTGTGGTGACTACTGCTTCTTGCAGCCTTATCAAAGTTGTGTGCAGAGCTGGGACTGGGTTACAGGGCTCAGCGCAGCTTCGGTGCATGGTTTCTATTGTGTACTTGCAGAGTCTTGGACAGCCTGCTGGTGTCGTTGACTACCACAGTCGTGGTCTTTGTAGCCTCCATGGTTCTGGGGGAATGCCGGCAGAAGTCTTCCACCAGTCATAGTGGCAATGATACTCTGAGCCTGCAGGTGAGGCATCTTGTGTGGAGATCATATGTCCTGATCATATTGTTCACCCTCCAGAGAAGCACAGGCACATAATGAGGCTTTGACAGCATGCAGTACATAACAGAACTTCAGTGAAAGCCTATGGACAGTTGCAGGAGGTTAGGGTCGTAATGAAAGCTACCCTTTGTGCTTTCGTACTTTGGCAAAGCAGCTCTGGCTGTGAATTGATGCTGCAGGCCCCGTCTCTGCTGCTGATGTTTGCTCTGAACTTCCCAAAGTGTGAGCTGTCAGCCCTATACAGGAGGGTTCCCATTCTGCCCAAAGGCTAATGTAGGAGAGAGTGGATTTTAACTGTTAGTGTCTTTTGTGTCCTGCATTAGGGTATGTCAGAGGATGTGAATTCAAGCATCAAAACTTTTTTCTGCCCAAATGAAACCTACAATGACATGGCCACACTCTTTTTCAACCCTCAGGAGTCAGCTATCTTGCAGCTTTTCCACCAGGACGGTGAGTACCTAGGAGACAGTGCCTCATCCTGTACTTAGGCTTCAGAGCTTCATCTTGCTTGAAACAGACTTGTCATAAGAACCACAAGGCTGAAAGCATCCTCAGGGCATTCATAGCTCTGGGGTCCTGCTAGTACAACAGGTGGAAGCCTCCTCCATGGGAAGAAAGGCCTGCTTTTCCTCTCTTTTTCATTTATTCATTGTTTTCATGTGTGTGTGGACTGGGAGACTAAGTAGCTGATGTGAAATGAGCCTGCTGTGAGCTGAGGGGTGGATGGTGCAACACTACTGTCTTGGTCCGACAGACCTGTGCCCCTTTAGTCATGATTCTTCTTGTGTTGCAGGTACTTTCAGCCCAGTCACACTGTCCTTGTTCTTCCTTCTCTATTTCTTACTCTCCTGCTGGACATATGGGATCTCTGTGCCCAGTGGTCTTTTTGTGCCATCACTGCTTTGTGGGGCTGCCTTCGGACGCCTGGTCGCCAACCTCCTCAAAAGGTGCATTGAGTGTGCGTACGTGTGCGAGAGAGGTGCTGCAGACGCACGCTGAGCTCTCAGTCTCGTTCTTCTGACCTGGGGGCTCTGTGTTTCGCCCTAGCTACATTGGCCTGGATCACATCTACTCGGGAACCTTTGCACTGATTGGGGTAGCAGCATTCCTGGGAGGAGTGGTCCGCATGACAATTAGCCTGACTGTCATCCTAATTGAATCCACCAACGAGATCACCTATGGGCTCCCAATAATGATCACCCTCATGGTGAGTGCAGGGTCCTCGCTCTGGCTTCTTGCACGCTGCTTGAACATCTGCCAGCCCCAACTCTCTGTTCCTTCCAGGGCTGTGATAAGCCAAGGAGTCTCGTACTTGGAACAACAACTCAGTAGACCTTCCGTTTGCTCTGCAGGTAGCCAAATGGACAGGAGACTTTTTCAACAAAGGCATCTACGACATCCATGTGAACTTACGAGGAGTGCCTCTTCTGGAGTGGGAAACAGAGGTGGAAATGGATAAGTAAGGCTGCTCCTCTTGGCAAGGCTGTGGGTTAGAGCCTGTGGTAGGGTTCTTGCTCAGAAAGGAATGCTGTAATGCAGGGGGATGATGTTTCATCTCCAACAAACCTGGCTGCTCTGAGACGAGCAGCTGTGAGAGGAATTGAGTCATGCACTAGGCCTGTGGCAGGAGAGAGGTGCTGGAGCCCTTTCTGAGGAGGGCTGGCCAGGTGGAGATCTGAGGAGCAGATTTGTGAGGTTCAGCAAGAACTCCGTGGAAATGTTCCATTGGATTTCGCTTCTTGCAGAATTTCATCTTCTTCCCACCTGTCGTCTTTTCCCAGTAGTGTTTAAACACTTTCTATGTTATAAGTTGCAACCTTTTTCCTTGCCTATAGTGCATCATTGATGCAATGTTATGTTGAAAACAACAACAAAAATCAATTGTGCTGGCACTGCTAATAGCACCGGGAAGATGAGCACGCAGGTACAGGGAGCTGGCAGAGCTAAACTGCAGCAGGCTCCTTCAGGATCTCGTTCTGGGGCTGGCTTGTTTCCTTGTTTGTCCATCACCAGCCTTCTGTCGCTGACGTGATGCACGCAGGAATCTTGGATTTCTGTTTCCTCAGACTACGAGCCAGCGACATCATGGAACCCAACTTGACATACGTCTACCCACACACCAGGATCCAGTCCCTTGTTAGCATCCTGCGCACAACTGTCCATCACGCCTTCCCTGTAGTGACTGAGAACCGGGGCAATGAGAGGGAGTTCATGAAGGGAAATCAGCTGATAAGTAACAACATCAAATTCAAGGTAAAAAGTTGCTTGTTTGGTAAGTTGAAGGGTAAAGAGCTTTGTTTTGCAGGTGGAAGGCCCTTTCTTTTGTTATCTAGGCTTTTGTCTGTGTAGAATTCAGGTCAGAGATAAACACCTACTGCAATACAGAATTTTCAAAGACTCAATTTCATTCCATTCTCCGGGCCATGGTAAGGGCAGAAGAGTGGGCTGCGTTTCTAGATGTAAAAGTTAAGAGGACTAGGTAACCTGTTTAGAATAGACATGGGAAAAGTTTGCATTTGGCACTGAAGTACTGAACCCAACATTGAGATCAGTAGTAGATGCCTAAATGCTTCTCTCGTTTGTAGGAGGGGAGTGGAGTAGATGCTTTAGTCCCTTGGGAAAATTAAAATTTAAGGTCAGAATGAATAATGAACGTGCTTGTGGCATACTTGTGCTCTAGCAAAAAAAGGTGCCCAAGTTCCTAAACTCCAGGTTCTCTGTCCAAAGAGGGTACGGTCCTATTGGCTATTCTTACAGGTACTGCAGCAGCCCTGACTAAGGAACACCTTATCTGGTGACATGAAGCTACGATCAAATAGTTCATAGTCGCTCTTAGATAACTGTTGACCTGCTTAGTGAATATCTGAAAATTGTTTTCTCTATCCAGAAATCCAGCATCCTCACCCGAGCCGGAGAGCAGCGCAGGCGTAGTCAGTCTATGAAATCCTACCCTTCAAGTGAACTGCGTAACATGTGTGATGAGCACATAGCAACGGAGGAGCCACCAGAAAA